TTGTCTGTAAGAATAGCTGTTCTTTTTGAAGATATATTTCCAATAGGGTTTGATTGAGGATATTCCTCCTCTCTCTAGTATCCAAAATCAAAAGATGGGGCTGAAATATCTCCACAAATGCTTCCTTCATCTTTCTCTACTTCACCGCTATTAGCCTTACAATTATTACTTTGGTTAGCATTTTCTCTCTCAAACCCCCTAAAGTTTTGCAAGTACCTTAGCATTGCCTCTGAATAGTTGTCGAATCCAAGTGAACTCAGAGCCCAACATATGTCGTCTCCGTTCACCGTCTTGCGGTTCTCTTTGTGACATCGATCGGATGCTTCACCGGTCACAAAACATATGAACTCCGATGCACATTGTTGCATTCTCTCTTTTGCTTCTCTTGAAACCTTTGCACTCGGTGGGAGGATCTTCTTCATCATCCGCCCTACGTTGGCTATTGGGAGCATTTTTTCATGCTCGTCACTCATTTTCAGACTAGAGATCTGAGAAAATATTTTTACGATTTTTTCGTTTTATTGACAAGATGAAATGTCACTTTTTTGTATTATATTAATTAATCTCTCACTACACCAAAATGGACATTTTCTAACAATCATGTTCTGTTGGAATAATTATTTCTAACGGCGAAATTCCGTTAGAAAAATGGCGTTAGAAATATATGGCCAAACATTTCTAACGGTTATATCCGTTAGAAAAAAATAAGAATCCGTTAGAAAAATTATAGATACCGTAGCGAGAAATAAAAATTTCTAACGGTTATTGTCCGTTAGAAATTACATTCTAATGGTTTTTGTTGTAACACTCTTAGCTAAATTTCTAACGAATATAACCGTTAGAATACTTTTTTAAAACGTCAAAAAAAAAATAAAAAAACAATAATTTTAATATTTCCATTTTATATATTAATTTAACCTAAATATTAAAAATATGAATCATTCATAAATAATGGAACGCAAATCATACATCACACAATACCCATAAATTACAATAAAATTTCGTAACATAAAAAAGTTCAATACTAAGTATTGTTCACCATTATGAAACAAACACCATAACGCAAATGTAAATGCCATAATCAAAAATTAATTTCCTACTGAAATAATTGACCCCTAATAACATTACTGGTGATAAAATATCTTCAATTCTTCTGGATGTGAACTCATTGCCCCTTTGAGATTGCGTCTTTATGCTTGTTGCTGAGAGAAGTGAAAATTTGCTAAAATGTTATTTAATTTATATTTTTGTGGGACAATTCTTAATTCAATAGAGAGACAATGGAGAAGAAGAAATCAAACCTGGGAATGAGAAGTGAGTTGCAACAGTACATCGAAATGAGACTACAGGCACAAGAGAAGAAAAAACAAGAGAAGCAGTCACAAAGAAGGCCTAAGGAACAACGTAAGAAAAAAGAAGAAAATGCTCAAATCAAAGCATCATTCACACACATAAAACATAAAATAAACCAAATTGACCATGAACATGAACTTGAATATTCAACCTAGGGTTACCCTTTCAGCAAGTAGAAGAGCAGACAAGAATTCCACACCAAATTGACCAATCAAGGTAGTCAGCCAGAAGGTCTTCCTCTCCTACATGAGGTCAATCTATAAATGTAAATTTTAATTTACAATCTGCACAATAAGTATTGTCTCAAAACTATATGGAACTCTAGATAGGATAACCATACATATAATCAAACACAAAGTTCACGAATAATACCTTTTAAGTTTTAACAATAATTTTGATTGCTTCAGCCCATCTGTTAATCTATCTTTTCTTTCTCCAAATTCAGCTCCACCCTGTGAAAAAACAGAGCTACTAACAAATGAAAACCAGTTGACTAGTATTATAAATAAATGAGGTGTAGTTTTTATTACTACCTAAACATCAAGATCAAAGAAAACCTGGTTCTCCAGTTCACTACCAAGTTTTACTATCTACCAGAAAGTTTTACTAGCCACTACAGTGCAAAAATAATTCAGCCTTTTTCGCATATAGAAAATATAACCATATAACGATTTCCTATAGTCATGCAAGCAAAATCGACTAACACGTCATATTGGACATATCTAATGTCAATTGACTTAATTATCTAACATTTTTGGACTATTCCAGCTCTTCAAACTCTAGATTATAAGTGCCAAAATATTGGCTACTGAATTCAGTAACTATATAAACTAATCAACTCGTTATAGCCTATAAAAACGGCAGTAAAAAAGCTATAAGATTGTGATATAGAGTAACGGAAAAGGAATGTGTAAAAAGGAAAAAAAAATTACAAAACATATGATGAGTAGGTTATACCAACCAATTAATCGAAAATATATTGTATCAGTTTTTAAATTTTCTTTATTGGTGTAGTATAACAACAGACTAACATATTATTAGGAATTTAGGAGTTATATAAATATATTGTACTCTTCAAGCCTTAGATTTACAGTCATAAAAACCACCAATAATTAACTTATAGATATATTATGCAGTTGAAATAGCTTTTAGTACACCAGAAAAAAATGAATTATATTTCAAAATGGTAATTAATTTTCTTTCGTATATATATTACTCATTTTGTTAAAATAAAATTTTCAGCAAAAGCCTTTCTCTCAAAGCAGACATCTGTTTTACTATCTCAGCAACAAGGCTACACATTTTTCCACAATATATTTACCACCCAATATACACATACTGTGTATTAATATCAATAGTAAGCACCAATGTAATATCCTCTTAAACTATAGTTTTACTCTGTACTTATCATTTGGAGTTATGCTAAGCTAATAGGCAAAAATCAGGAACCTCACATGGATTATTATACATGAAAAATCATAATATTAGTTTTTGTTACGAACAATAATTTTGATGTCTACATAAACAATTGAATAAAGAACTTCTGATTGTTCCCAATTCAAAGAAGAAAAAATCCCATCTGATCTAGTTCTTCTCCATACACTACTCATTACAATCTTATATATAGATACATATATATGACAAACTCTAGGAATATTTATCTAACCAATTACAAGAATAGTATAATTTAGAGCACACAGACAACTTTTTGTAGTTTAAACCAAATAGTTCTACATCACTTTTTCCCCAGTCGTAAACAACAATAATAGGCACAAATAATTCAAGGGCAACCATATCATCAAATCAGAAGAAAAGAAAAACAATCGATTAATTCAATCCCTATTCATAGGCAAAAATAACCCTACTAAAGAATCACAAAAAGGATAGAAAAAATCTAAACCCAAACAATCGTACCTTTTCTTGTAGAGCGACTACGTTTTTAGAAGAAGAAACAAAGAATTCTCCTCGGCAGCTGTAGATGAGCGAGAGATAAACTGGAAAAAAAAAACGAGAATTGAGTAGTTAATGGGGTGAGGGAAGTAGAATTGGAAGAAAGGGGGAAACGTGGTCAAAACAGAGGGAAATAAAATATATTTTAGGGTATATTTTACTTTTATTTTATATATATATATATATATATATATATATATATATATATATATATATATATATGTATATATATATATATATATATATATATTGAGTTTCGGGCTTCGAGTTTCGAGGTTTCGGGTTTCGAGTTTCGGGTTTTTGGGTTTTTGGGTTTCGGGTTTAAATCATTTACAAATATAATATAATATATAATATTATAATTAAAGTCAGGTTATATAATATATAATATTATAATATATAAAATATATACGATTACAATTAAAATTTTAATATAATATATATAATATATATAAGAGATAATAAATTTAGAATACAAGTTATGTTAAATTTGTATCTAACACTTAAATACCGTTACAAATATATTTTCAATTAAAAAAATATATTTAATATAAATAGTAACACATAAATTTATATTCTAACGGGACTTAACCGTTAGAAATTTCTAACGGTTTATATCCGTTACAAACAATAAATTTGTGCTGTTAGAAAATGTCTTAAATGGTGTAGTGTCTTATACTGATCTAGGCATGTTCGTGGAGATCACGCAGTATACACTTCGTGTGTGATAAGTATCAACGATCTAGATTATTTTATCAGTATCTCGCAGCTGCACTTACAGAGTCTATTAAAATATTTATTTACTTACAGAGTCTATTAAAATATTTATTTAATTCTATAGTAGTGGGATGGTCTCATATAGCCATAACTTGGGTATTACTAAAAGTACTCTTTTTGTTAGTACATCAACATATAAATATGTGCAGCTAGAGCATCTTAAGTAAGTCTTAACCTAAAAAAGATTAAAGCTTATTGCAAAAACATGAAACTTATCAAAATATACACATACCACAAGTTGTATTAATTATTTTAACTGAATTAAACAACTACATCTAGATAAAATTATCATCTTATTTTTGGGAAAGTAAAAGCTCTTGACGAATGAAAACCCTAGAAAGAAGTTTAAGTTGATAATGGTGTAGTTGGTCCCCTCATGTAATCTCAATTCTCTAATACTCCCACCAATGTCTTTATCATATTATAATATTGGTTGTAAAGTTTGAAAATGAATGGACTGCGTTGATGCACGTTTGTTTCTTATTAATTAAACTACAAACACCGGTTTAATTTTGGCTTAATCCCACTTATACCCTTTTAGGCCTTGTTTGGTTGCCAAGATGAAATTAAATAATTTAATAAAACTCAATTATATTATTGGACATTGGAAGGTCCAATAAAAAAACATACCTAAAAGGCAAGATACGTCGTGATAACATTATATTTGCGGGTCGACCCGATAAGTTATTAGGGATTCCATACATTAAACAAAGTCTTATTATTTAGTTAATAATGGCTAATCTCCCCAACCAAACGAGACCTCAAAATATAGATCTTTTATACTTTCACCCTCGAAGAAAATTAATTTCACTTTACACTTCCGAAACACAATAAATCATTCACAATGCATCTCAGGGGAATTTATTAAGCTAATGAAGGTAATTTTAATATTTTTTACGGTAATTTTTAGAATGCCATGTCAAATCAATTTGTTTTATATTCATCGGTCCTTCAACCGATTTTCGAAACTACAAAGTGCAAAAATAAAATACATCAATATCTCAAGAGAATATTTAAAAATTATGTGTTTTATTACAAAAAGGAATATTTTACAAAAAAAATTAAAAAAAATCCTTTATCTATTTTGTTATCAAGTTATTTCAAATTATAATTTTTAACAAGATTTATTCCAAATATTTTCACCAGTTACAATAAAAGATCCATTAATCAAATAATTCATGCTTCTTTTGGTACAAAAATATAATTTTTAAGTAAGTAATTATATTCTCTTTTTATTTCAGCACTTTGTATTAGGGCTGTGCGTTGGTTGGTTTGGTTAAAAACCAGGCATAAAACCAACCCAACCCATCCAACCAACTTTGGTAAATATTGGAAACCGTTATCGACCCAACTTACATGGGTTGGATGATGGTTGAAAACCAATTTAATGGGTTGGTTGGTGGTTTGGTTGATGGGTCATCCATCTAAATATTTTTTAATTTTTTTTTTATATTTTATTACATGTTACAACGCTATATCTTTTATAAATTAAATGCGACTAGTTCAATAATATTCAAATAAAAGATTCAAAACATTACGTGCATATATATTGCAATTAAACATAACTAGTTCAACAAATAATAATCGTCCAAATATTTAGATTGTATGTCTTAAAATTAAAATAGTTCAAATTAGATAATTAAGTTAGATTTATTGCGTTTGGGATTTTGGTCAATATTAAACAATTTAATAAATGTGATATAAAATAGAAATTTGAAATTAAAAATATTAAATATTTTAATTAAAATTAACAAATAATAAATTAATGAATAAAGTTGGTTGGCCGATATTAACCGACTAACCAACTTTTTAGCATATTAGAAACCATTATCGACCCACCTATACATGGGTTGGTTGACATTATCGACCCAACTTAAATGGGTCGGTTGATGGTTGATTAACCATCATAAATTGTGGGTCGAAAATGGGTTGGTTGATGGTTAAAACCGATCCATGCACAGCCCTACTTTGTATGCTAGACATTAGGTCGGAGGGTAAACTAAAATAACAGTTTCTTTTACTCCTAACAAACCTAATGAGTTTTCTAATTTCTTGCTTCTTCTCTAATTTTGTTCGGCTCAATCAAATATCTTGTGTAATTCATTGTAAACTTATCATCTTCCGCAATAGTTTTAGAGTCGAAAAGTAGATCTCATAAATCAAAGATTTTTTATTTCTTTTCTTTTACTGTTTTTGTAACATTCAGTAGATTTCGTGTTATTTATGAAATTATACATGTGTAATATGTCGATTTGTTCCAGTAAAATAGAAATTTGCGTTTGTGCGTCAGATTAGCCATTGCTGAGTTTTTTTTTCTTTGTTGAATTTGATTTTTCTTTTATTCTTTTGCCACATTTTCAGAAAGTTTCGGGATTCCGATATTTCCGATATTTCTGAAATTTCCAATTATTTCGGAATCGGATCTCATTCTCAGATTCCAAAATTTTCGGAATTGGAATCGGAATCGAAATGCATAATTATGTTCCGAAAAAATTAGAAGTTTTCCGAAAACTCTATATCCGATCTGATTCCTCCGATTTCTACCCCTAACCACAGTAATATTATGAAAGTTGACGGTAAAAACTAATATGACTATCAAGTATAGTAATATTAAAATATTGGACAGTAGTATTATTATGTTGACCCCTCAACAGGGGCGGATTATTATGTTGACCACCCTAAATTCTGAAATAGAGTTTGGTACAGTGGTAAAGATGTCTAAATAAGTCGTGAGTTTGAATTTGGCAGGATACAAAAATTCTGTTTCTTTTTTTTATTTTCTTTTTTTTTGCCTCCTTTAATTTTTTTTTCAGTCCTCTACCTTTCTTTTTTTGGCAATTAATTTTTTCTAGCCTCTCTCGACTAAACCAAA